GAACCGTGGTCCCTGTGCTTTGCTCAGCCTAGCTTGTTCTAAGTAGGTGCTTTAGACCACTGAGCCATCTCACCAGCCCCCCCTTTCCACTTTTGGTGGTACGAGGCAGTGATTGATGTTAAGGAACAAGCACATACATGTGTGCTCTCTGGGTAACCCCAGACAAGGGAGTTGATGAGAAATAACCCTGAGCAATATACAAGAAACACTTATATTCATTTTTATTCACACATTTTTATTCACAATAACCATGTAGCACAGCTTCCTTGATTTTCATTTCATGGATGGGGTTGGATCAGCATGGGAAATGTGAAGAAACTTTTCAAGATTGCAGCAAAGGGATGAACAAGGAATTGAAACCAGATCTACCGACTCAAATTCTGTGGTTTTTTCCTTCCCCAAGGCTTACCCCCACTACATAAATCAAGCCCAGGAAGTCAGGATGAAATAGAAAAAGAAAGGGAAGAGGAGGGATGATTTCTGGGTTTATTATGCTTTTGTATCTTCATCTAAGATTTTTCTGAAATTCCTTTAATATCTAAGAAAAACCACACATGCTAAAAAAACTAAGCCAACAGCTTGCAGTAGCCTAGGATTCCAGAGTAAATACTGAAATTGGCAGGACATGTCGTATCCTTCCTCTCAGTGGGTCACGTGAGGACATTGCCTAACATCTGTCATGAATGTGTTTGGGAATATATAATATTTATGTGTCATCAAATCCTTAGATGCCTCCTTTTTTTTTTTGCCAAAATGAAGTACTGTGCCCTACTTTTTGATTTAATCTAAACATAATTTTAAAAAGTAATCAAAAATCTGATCCCAAAGATGTACAGAGATTTATTTATTTATTTATTTTTTAAAATAGAGTAGGTTTGAGTATTCTCCCAGCCTCCTAAGAGAGAGAACTCAGATGACATCATGCCAAATGCTGAGTAAAAGGGAGGGATTTTTTTTAGTGGAAATCATGTTATTTTGTGGCCACATTTTCACATTACTTTAGGGGGTGGACCCTCTGCTGGGATAGGCTGGAAAGCTATTTAACATTTTGTCCAGGGGAAACACAGTCCAGATTCAAGAGTCAAGACCAAGTCATGAGACTTGCTGGAATCAAACCCTGGCAACAGCTTCCACTGCTTCTGAGCAGCTGTGCTTTTACCCTAGCAGACTTACCTAAACTGTGTCCATGTGGAAAAAACAGTAAAATCTGGCAATCCAGATAATTCCAACATGTGGAATCTCAAGAAACTGATCGTTAAATCATTTAATATCTGATACTTATTCCCAAGAGCAGCTGAAGGGATTTTTCATCCCCAAATGGGTAAGGATGCAGTGAATTGATTACTTATTTTAATAACTACCAAATTATTATTGAAAACAGCTGCCTTTTATCGATACAGGAAGATAGTCAAGACCAGCAGTGGGTGGAAAGGCAGGCTACAAAATAGTTTCTGTGAAGAAACCAATCATCAAAATATGTGATAAAACCTAGAGAAATAGGTAATGCTAACTGCTGCCTGTGAGTATTAAGCTTATATTTTTTCCCTTTATAATTTTCTGCATTTTTGCAAACAATATACATAAAACTTCATTAAAAGCTTTTCAAAAAAAGGAACCAACTCCCTGCAAAGAGGCTAGAGGCAAGACCTGCCCAGATGATTCAGGAGCAGAACATCTTGCCAGAGTGACACAAAGGGTTCAACTCTAACGGCTGTAGCAGAAAGAAGTGGAGCACAGCAGCCAGATCCAAGAAACACCCACCTGGAGGAATCGGAATTTCATAGATCTGGACCTGGTACTAAGGTAATAACACTATCTAAGCCCTACACCAAAGGTCAGAAGACAGTGGTATACAAAATGACAAAGAGAAGGAACAAAATGCAGTCTCAGGCCCCGAGTCCACCCAGTACAA